CCCCAAAACCCCAAAACCCCAGAGACTTAAAATAAAATCTGATTTGTGTAATTAATAAGTAAAATTCAAAGTAATTCATCGAATCATATAAATGTTATTAGGTATAACTTGCCCCTCATTTGTTGAGTTAAAGTTACTTTAAAATGTTTTCCTCATAATAAAGGTGATCAGTATAAGCTTTCTTAACAGCTCTTTAAATGATATTTTAGCCTAGGTCTGATTTTGTTGAATTATCTAAGGCTAAATCACTTTTAATCTAACTAATAAGAAGCTACGGGTGATCTTCTGTCTTATGAGATAATTATTAAGATTTAAAAAGATTTTTGAAAAGTCTGGAGTCTATTTTATTTGACTCCTTTTATATCTCCACTTGTCTAAGATAATTTTAAATGTCTTCATCAACAACCAATTATTTAAAACTGGATCTAGATTAAAGATCCTTACTGTCTATGCTTATCACATTTGATGATAAAAAAGGGAAAAGCTTTCTCTGATATTTAGAGATCATAATATCCTAAAGCAAATCAAGAGTTTTTAATTTCTTCAAAATACTGTCAATATCAAATTATATTTCTAATCTTCTTTGTCCTCTTTAATACTGTGTTTTTTTCTCATTATAATAATTGGTTTTGTAATTGTTTGGCATTTTACAAATCTTAAGCATGTTCAAAAGCCTATATCTATAATAGCTAAACTTAAATGGCTATAAATTCTTCATGTATTTGAATATATCTACAAAAGCAGTACCTTCTCGCTAATCTTTATTCTTATCAAACTACCACTCAAAGTCATTTTCAAATTAGTCGTTTGCTTTATCGTGTGATATTGTTGAGAAGTCTTAAATAGAGTTATTACTATTATCCTAATTCTAATCAATTTTTGCTTTTTTACTTAAAGATCCTTAACTTAAAGTAGGATTTTCATAGACTAAGTAGTTCCTTTTTATTAAACTTTGAAAAAATAAGTTTCTTTGTATTCTGTTGATTAGTAAATTTACAAAAGCAAAAATGATACTCATGAATCCCCCCGTATTTGTAATGTCATCTAAAATTGTATATGCGGATCTCTAGACAGTTTCTTATTGGAAGGATTAATAATATTAGATTGAAGCGAAAATACCATCATTCAACATAGGCGTCCTATATTCGTAGTCACTGATAATATCGTAATACTCCCTTTGGAAAAAATGCAATGAACTTGCAAAATAAGAATCCTTCATCTAAGCTAAATTTTTCTATACTCTCTTGATCATTACTAATCTTTTTTCTACAGATAGTCCAAAATATAATGAGTTCATTTAAGGCTTTACAGAGTCATTATAGTCATTTTCATCAAAGTGCTCATACATGTAAACTATCTATACGAGGACCTCATCAGCTAAATGAGTTATTTCTTCATCTGACTTGCATGTGAGATTCTAACCAGGATACTAATCTTCTAAAAACTCCTAGTTGCACTTTGCAATCTTTACTGCTAAATATTTATTTTACTCTGAAAATCTAGTTGCCTTTAATGTAGCATTAAAATCTTAATGGAGACAGAGGTGATTGCCAGCTATTTTCATTCGTTCTAAAGCATCTTTTTAAGAGTTAAATCTATTTGCTTGGCATCATTGAAGTTTGATTTCCTAGGAATCATTGCTCTATTTTGAATCTGATCTCGCTTGAGTTTATAGATTTATTACTTTTACTGAGAGGTATTAATGGATATTGAACTGAAATGCAGAATAATTGTCATCAACAATATTAATTGCTATTTCAAAGTTGAATCTGTTTAAAGTTACTGATTCATTGCTAAACATTAGATCTTTAAAATGAGAAGATCTTGTTATTTAGCTTTTTTCTCTTGTAAAGACTGTTATGAGTTACAATAATAAGTATGTACCTATTAGAACTCTAGTGACAAGAGTAGCGAAACCCCCAAGGAAAGATTTGTAGGTTGGAGAGTTTTTGTATGTTAGAGCTATTGGATAGCCGAAACCATCCATATTTGTTATTAATTCCTAAAATTTCCTTAACTTTCCAATTCTCATTGATCTTAGCTTATAAACTCTGCCTGATTATTTAAATCTACACAATATTATTATAATAAATCAATCATTCTTTCTTTTATTTTGATTTCCACTTATTCAACTTATTCTAAAGAGGAAGGGGTTTGGGGTTTTGGGG